CGGATGGAGCAGGAGAAAGGTAGGGTGCAGAACTCAAGTTCTAGTAAGAAGACCAGACTTAATGGTCTGAGACTGGAGGAACCCTGGAAAGAATGGCCCCTGGATTCTCTTGTCAGCCCAGAACTAAAACAACTTCCAAGGCCAACTCTTCAGACAGGGATTGGACTGGACTGTGGGACATAAAGTGATACTCGTGAGGAGCGTGCCTCTTAGCTCAAGTAGATACAAGAGACTAAACGGGCAGCTTCTGTCTGGAGGTGAGGTGGGAAGGCAGAGAGGGTTAGGAGCTGATTGAATGGACATGGAGAATCAGGTGGAAAGGAGGAGTGTGTTATCATAGTATGGGGAGAGCAATTAGGGTCACATAACAATGTATGTATAAATTTTTGTATGGGAAACTAACTTGAAATGTAAACTTTCATTTAAATTACAACACACACACACACACACACACACACACACACACACACACACAGATACACACATATATAAAATGTGTGTCAACTTGTCTAGGCCACGATTTCCCAGAATTGTGTGGTTGTCCACCATTTTGTGATCTGATGTGATTATCTTATGTGTTGTAAATCCTAACCTCCTTGATGTTAATGAGGCAGGATTAGAGACAGTTATGTTACTGAGGCAGGACTCAATCTACAGGATTAGGTGGAATTTTGAGTCAGTCTCTTTTGAGACATAAAAGAGAGACTCCAGCAGAGAGTAAAGGGACCTCCTACCATCAAGAAAGAAGAGCTGGGAGCAGAGCTCCTTCTTTGGGTCCCTGTGCTGAGAAGCTCCTAGACCCAGGGGAAGATTGATGACAAGGACCTTCCCCCAGAGCCGACAGAGACAGAAAGCCTTTCCCAGGAGCTGATACCCTGAATTTGGGCTTCTGACCTTTTAAACTGTGAGAGAATAAATTTCTCTTTGTTAAAGCCATCTACTTGTGGTATTTCTGGTATAGCAGCCCTAGATAACTAAGACAAGCCCCAACTATACTGTAGTGTTTTTTTTATTTTGTTTAATTTTTAAGATACTTTTTGAAAGTCTGAGAAAGTTAACTATATTTTTTCAACATTTCATGCTCATTCACTTATTTTTCTAGACTCGAATAGTTTCTTAATGATAAGCATTATAGTGCTAATGATGGAGCCCTGGTGACGCAGCGGTTAAGAGCTCAGCTGCTACCCAAAAGGTCGGCAGTTGGAATCCACCAGCCGCTCGTTGGAAACCCTGTGGGGCAGTTCTGCTCTGTTCTATAGGGTTGCTGTGAGTCGGAATCGACTTGACGGTAATGGGTTGGTTTATAGTGCTAATGAGCTGAACATAACATAGATTTTCAGTAAATACCACAAGTGCCAGCACTGGTCCTGAGGAGCCCTGGTGGCACAATGGTTACACACTCGGCTGCTAACCAAAAAGTCAGCTGTTCAAACCTACCAGCTGCTCCACGAGAGAAAGATAATGGCGGTCTGCTCCCATAAGTATTGCAGCCTTGGAAACCCCATGGGGCAGTTCTCCTTTGTCATCTATGGTCGGTCTGCGTTGAAATCCACTTGACAGCACGCAACAAGCGTCCTGAAGGAAGAGCTGTGATGTTGCCCCTCAGAAACCTGTGTTGCAGGTAAAAGGAAGGAGCTTCATTCTAGAATGTAACCTGGCCTGCTGACCTCGAAGGAGTCATCACAGAGCTGGCTGACCGCCTGGAATGTCCTGTATAGTTTCTGAAGTCTTCGTGCCCAGTAGCTGCACCAAGCTTGTAACAGCTGTCACGCCCAAATCCAGTACGATCCTTTCGTACTTTAGAGTCCGTTTATTTTTAGGAATTTGAGAAGATTTACGGAGATCGTAGCACCCAAAATTCACTGGAATGTTTTGAGAAGAAGACGTGGGGGTGCCGGCCGAGGACAGTCCTGCATTTAGCCGTGTCCTTCAGTAACGGTGAGTTCTGAGGGTGCCTCGTGCTGTCGGCAGCGATGAGGGCAGCCGTTGAGGGTGAACATGAGCAGGCTTTGTCTCCTGAGCTGTCTACAGTGACTGTTTCCCCCCCAGCCTGCACTTGGCTCTTCAGCTTCTTGTCAAGGGTTGAGTCCAGGCACCCACGTTGGGTCCAGGGAAGCTAGGGGTGTGTTGGAGCTGGCCAGATGACCTCTTCCTTTGAACACCTGACCGTCTTTCCCACCCTGCCTGCGTCTCTTCTCCCGTAAACAGCACGCTTTGCCTGGTTAGTTTTATCAGTGTAAAATTATTAACTTATTTCTGATTTTTCATATTAAATTATCAGTAAGCAGCCACATAGGCATAAAGCTGTTTTGTCTTAAATTTTGCAAACCTTGCATATCTAGTATCAGTTCCTGGGAAATGGCAGCTTATAACGATAGAGAAGTACTAGAATATTCCGAATACAGTGCCTTCTTAATGCCAAAGAAAAATTTAATGTTGTTTTAGTACTTTGTTGGTCTTTGTAAAGTTTGACCGCCCTTATAATGGACTTTCTTGAAGTATAATTTATATAAAAGAAATGAGTATACCCGTCTAAAATGGACAGTTCGGTGAGCTAAAAAATTAGATAAACCTGCTGGAACACCACTCCAGGAAGGTTCAGAACATCGCCCCAGAAGGTTCCTTCATGCCTTTTCCCTAGTTAATCGCCTCCACCCCTCAGGCAACCGCTGATCTGGTGACTTTTTCTGGAATGTCGTACAAGTTGAATCCTGCAGTATGGCCTCTTTTTGTATGTTGTTTCTGAGGCTCATCCGTGTTGTTGTCTCCATCAGTGGTTTACTCCTTTCTGTGGCTGAGTAGCTTCCTAGTTGTTTCTGGTGGGAGGAGCCGTTACTTTGCTGTTGGAGGTGGGAGTCATGTTCCATAGAGCTTGTTGTTTTTTTTAACTAGGTATAAGATTTCCAAGTTGAATGGTATTAAGTTTTGCCCCATGAATTTTGGTTACATTGATTAAAAGACAAATTGAAAGCTGTTCTTTTAATTATTCAGCTCATCTTTTTTTTAATATTGGGTCTATTGGAGTATGATTTATATATGGCAAAATTCACTTAAATTTTTTTTAATTGAGAAAAATCCACTTTTGACACCATCACCACAATCGAGGTATAGAACATTTCCATCATTCCCCAAAATGCCTTTGTAGTCAATGGACTACACCCGCCTCCACCCCGAGCACCAGTCTCTTGTTCCTGTTACCTGCTGTCGTCGGCTCTGGCTCATGGTGACCTTGTGGATCACAGAACAAAACGTGGCCCGGTCCTGTGCCGTCTTCACGATCACTGACAGGTTTGAACCCATTGTTGGGGCTGTTACGTCAGTCCATCTCACTGAGGGTTTCCCTTGTTTCCCTGACCCTCTGCTTTATCAGACCCGATGTCCATTTCGAGCAATTGGTCTTTCTTGATTATGTGTCCAGAGTAAGTGAGTCCAAGTCTTGCTATCCTTGCTTCTAAGGAACATTCTGTTTTATTTCTTCTCGTATTTTGTCTTGTCCAGAATCTCGTGTAAATAGAAACATGCAGTATGCAGCCTCTGGAGCCTGGCTTCTCAGCACAGGGCACTTGATTTTCATCCAGTCGCATGCAGTTCTCTCATTGAGCGCTACCCCATTGTTTGGATGTAGCACACTTTGTTTATCCATTCATCAGTTGAAGGACATTTGGGTTGTTTCCAGATTTGGGCAGTTATGAATAAAGCTGCTTTATACATTCACATGCGGGTTTTTGTGTGAACATAACATGTGTTCATTAGTCTTGGGTACATACCTAGGAGTGAAGTTGCTGGGTGCTGTGTCCAGTGCATGTTTAACTTTGACATAGACTGCCAGCCTTGTTTTCCAAAGTGGCTGCATCATTTTACATTCCCGCCAGCAGTGTATATGAGTTCAGTTGTTTTACATCCTTGACAGTGCTTCGTATTGTCAGCTTTTAAAAATTTTAGCCATTCTTAGATATGAAGTGTAGTATCTCATTGTGGTTGTAATCTGCATTTTCCTAATGATGTTGAACATGTTTATAAGTGTTCATTTGCATCTGTGTATCTTCTTTGGTATAATTTTTATTCAAATATTTTACCTATTTTTCAATTGGATTTCCTGTTTTCTCATTATTGAATTTTGAGTGTATTCTGAAAACAAGTCCCTTCTTAGATTTGCATATATTTTCTCCCTTTTCATTTCCCTGATAATGTCTTTCAAAGAGCAGCAGTTTTTAGCTTTGATGAAGTCCAACTTATTTTTTTAATGGATCTTGCTTACATATCTAAGGAATCTTTGCCCAGTCTAAGGTTGCAAAGATTTCCTCCTATGTTTTCTTCTAGAAATTTTCAAGATTTAGGTTTATGATCCATTCCGAGTTAATTTTTATATATGATATTAGGTATGGATTGAGTTTGGTTTTTTTTTGTTTTTTTGCCATTAAGTTTGGGGTTTTGGGGCCATTGGAATGTTGAATCATCCTAGCGCCATCTGTTGAAAATGTATAATATAATGTTAATGATCCTTATTGCGGGAAATTGCCTGGGCACAGTCTTAAAAAGAGAGCCCAGCAAGGGACGTCAGTGAAACCTGATTGGGGCTTTTTAACACTAGTGAGTCTCTCAGTTGTATGCGTTAATCCCATGTGTTTTGTTAAAGGTCTCAAGATTCTGCCCTCCAAAAACATCTTGCCATGATTGGATAGGACCCCCTGATAAATATTCAAACCTTCGACCTGTTCAGTTTCACATCCCCGAGGATGAATCACCATTGGAACAAAAGCTTCGAGAACTAAGACAAGAAACACAAGAATGGAATCAGCAATTCTGGGCAAACCAGAATTTGACTTTTAGTAAGGTAAATTTAAAAGGAGGCCTGGTGTAGGCAGTGGTTAAGTGCTCAGCTGCTAACCAAAAGGTTGGCAGTTCGAACGCACCAGCTGCTCTGCGGGAGAAAGATGTGGCAGTCTGCTTCCATAAAGATTTACAGCCCTGGAAACCCTGTGGGGCAGTTCTGCTGTGTCCTGTAGGTCGCTGTGAGTCAGAATTGACTTGACAGCAGCGGGTTAAATTTAGGATCAGAATGTGAAATAATACAGTTGGCCACTTGAGGGTGCTAAATCCTTAATATTTGCTTTGTGCCCATGTGTGCATGCGTGTGCGTGCGTGCGTGCGTGCGTGCGTGCGTGCGTGTGTACATAGAATTTTTTAAACCAATATGTATAGCAAAACCTCTGAGAGCTGGAACTCGATGGGACTGCCTCGTTTTTCCAGGTCTCCCAAGTTTTCCGCCTTTGACAGGGTGCAGCGCTCACTTTTGTCATTTGTTTCAGTGGAAAATATTTGCATTTTCCTTCTCTGACGGGTTTCGACTCCCACAGGTTCCGGCTTTTGCAGGTTTGATGTAACTGTACATAAGGAAGATTGGTTGTCTGTAGAATCACTGATCTTGAGACTTTCCAGTAAGTGAAGTGACTTCTCCCACGATTATCAAGTTAATAAGTAGCAGAGCTAGTTAGAACTGTTTATCTTGTCCATACACATAATTTTACACGTATTTATATGTATGTATTTATATGTTTGAAAATTTAGGTTTGTGGGATGTCTTGTTATTCTTCCTGAGAATTCAAAAATTCTTCACAGCATTCTCATTATTAAAATAAACTACATGAGAAAGAAGTGTAAATATTCCAAGCCAGAGGAAGACCATTTGAACTTTCTTGTTTCTCCGTTTTGGTGGGCTGTGTCCCCTAATGTGCGTTTATCTTATTCTGTGGGTTTATAAACAGTGCTTCCCAAAGCTTGTTGAACATCTCGTTTTCAAATCCTATTTTAAGCATGAGACTTTCATCCAAATTCCAGTGGTTTAAAATGGGCTTTGAGATGGGCCATTTCTTAGAAAGCCCACATCCAGACTTGCCCAGAACACTGTGAGCTGTGTTCTAGCGGAGGAAAGACGGAGACGAAGAGAAAGATCATGACCATCATCTTCTTTTAGGAAAAAGAAGAATTCATTCACTCCAGACTGAAAGCGAAAGGCCTGGGGTTGAGAACTGAATCAGGTCAGTGCCTTGGTTCTTTCTTTGCTAACCTTGTTTTTGCTTGAGCAGCTTCACGAGAAGATAAGGAAGGATGTTGAGTGAGGGAGACAACGTTTGAGGCAAGTCGCACCTCCTTTGGATGGGCGCTTTCAGGGTGCCTTCAGGGGACACAGCTCGGCCCCCTCTGGCAGGGCCTCTCAGCTGTCCCTGTCCTGGCACTGCCTGTGAAGGGGACACAAACTGGATTATTGTGCCCAGTTTCTTTACTTAGGTTTATGTTGAGTGGGAAGTTGCAGGCCGACTGCTGTGGAGCACAGATCACTCGGGAAACATTTGTGGTGTTTCTGCACTATGCCAAACACTGGCCTGGAGGTGATTGGGCAAGAAATACACCACCAGCTGGAGATGGCCCATCCTTGTCCCTGAGCTCCCTGTGGGGGGTCGTGTGTTGGCGTCCCTCACCACTACCGTCTGCTCCCTGTTTGGTCACTGCAGTGACAAGTGAACACTCTGACAGGCACCGTGCCACCTGCCTGTGACAGGCTGTGCTCCTGTCCTGTGTCCACAAGGCAGGGGTGACTGGTCCCAGGTGTGGCCTTCCAGGTCCTGTGAGTGTGGGTGAGCTTGTGGTCACCGCAGTCAGCGCCCCCCAGCAGACGTGAGCAGTGTGGAGGCAAGCATGTTGGTCCCCAGGGGCCACCAGTCCCCACCTGCACCTGTTGGGTGTGCTCACCTGGGTCATTGTGTCCTCATGCTCACGGACCCGGATGTGGACACGGTCAGGCCAGCTCTGCCCCAAGAGGGACGCATTCAACTTAGGAAGCTTGTCAGTCATTGCCTTTCTGCACACTCAGCCCACAGTTCCTTTCATAGACACTTCAGATGAAGTACATCACACATTATGCATGCTTACACATGCACCTACATGTATGTCGGTTGTGAGGCAAATGCATTATGCTGTAATCATTAGGATCTAATAATAGAGGCGGTGTCTGCTATAACAATTCCCACAAGTGGATGCCTTTAACAAAGAGAAATTTATTCTCTCACAGGTTAGGAGGCTAGAAGTCCAAATTCAGGGCGTCAGCTCCAGGGAAAGCCCTTCTCTTCTATTGGCTCTGGGGGAAGGTCCTTGTCATCAGTCTTCCCCTGTTCTAGGAGCTTCTCAGCACAGAGAGCCCGGGTCCAAAGGACATGCTCCCCTCCTGGTTCTTCATTCTTGGTGGTATGAGGTCCCTCTGTCTCTCTGCTCCCTTCTCTCTCTTATATCTCAAAAGAGATTGACCCAAGATACAGTCTAATCTTGTAGATTGAGTCCTGCTTCATTAACACAACTGCCTCTAATCCTGCCTCATTAACATCGTAGAGGTTAGGTTTTACAACACATAGGAAGATCACGTCAGATGACAAAATGGTGGACCATCACTCAAGACAGGGAATCATGGCCTAGCCAAGTTGATACACATTTTGGGGGGGGATATTTCAATCCGTAACAGGTGGATCCTTTCCCCCTAAGTCTTTTTTGTTAAGATATAATCCACATACCATAACAGTCAACCTTTTAAAGTACACAGTTTAGTGGGTTTTTTTTAGCATATTCACAAAGTTGTGCAACCATCACAACAATCGGACTCCAGAACGTTTTCGTCATCCGAGAAAGAAACTCCATACCCGTTAGCATCATTCTCCCTTTCCTCCTTCCCTAGCCCCCTCCAGCCACTGATCTACTTTGTGTCTCTATGGATTTGCCTTTTCGGGGCATTTCATATAAATACAGGCAGACCATGTATAATCTTCTGTGACCAGCTGCTTTCGCTTAGCATTTTCAGGCTTCAACCATGTTGTAGCATGTATCAGCAATTCGTTCCTTTTGATGGCTCGGTAATATTCCGTTGTGTGAATATGCCACATTTAGTTTATCCACTCATCAGTTGGTGGACATTTTGGTGGTCTCTACTTTGTGACTATTATGAATTACACTGATATGAACAATTTTGTACAGGTTTTTATGTGAACATGTTTTCAGTTCTTGAGTTTATACCCAGGAGTAGAATTGCTGGATCAGACTGTGACTCTGTTTGACTCTTTGCGGAACCGCCAGGCTGTTTTCCAAGGGCTGCCCCATTTACCTTCTCACCAGCTGTGTGTGAGGGTTCCGATTTCCCCACACCCTTCTCAACACTGGTTATTCTCCGTGTTTTGATTCTCGCTGTCCTAGTGGGTGTGGAGTGGTGTCTCATTGTTGTTCTGATTTGCGTTTCCCTGATGACTAGTGATGCTGGGTGTCATGGATTGAATTATGTCCCCCCAAAAATGTGTGTATCGTTTGACTGGGCCATGATTCCCAGCACTGTGTGGTTGTCCTCGCTTTTGTGATTGTAATTTTATGTTAAAGAGGATTAGGATGAGATTGTAACACCCTTACTAAGGTCATATCCCTGATCCAATGTAAAGGGAGTTTCCCTGGGGTGTGGCCTGCACCACCTTTTATCTTATAAGAGATAAAAGGAAAGTGAAGCAAGCAGAGAGTTGGGGACCTCACACCACCAAGAAAGCAGTGCTGGGAGCAGAGCACGTCCTTTGGGCCTGAGGTTCCTGCACAGACAAGCTCCTAGACCAGGCGAAGATTGATGACGACAAGGACCTTCCTCCAGAGCCGACAGAGAGAGAGAGCCTTCCCCTGGAGCTGACGCCCTGAATTTGGACTTGTAGCCTACTGGACTGTGAGAGAATAAACTTCTGTTTGTTAAAGCCATCCACTTGTGGTATTTCTGTTATAGCAGCACTAGATGACTAAGACATTGGGCATCTTTCCATGTGCATATTGGCCATTTGTAAATCTTCTTTGGAGAAATGTCTGTATTCAAATCCTCTGCCCATTTTAAAATTGAGTTTTTGTCTTTTTACTGTTGAGTCATAAGAATTCTTTATGTATTCTAGATATAAGTCCCTTATCAGATATATGATTTCCAAATATTTCTCCCATTCTGTCATTTCACTTTCTTGATGGCGCACAAAAGTTTTTAATTTTGATGAAATCCAATTTATCTATTTTTCCTTTGTTTGCTTGTGCTTTAGTTTTCTTATCTGTGAAGCCATTGCTAAATCCAAGGCCATGAACATTTACACCTGGGTTTTTCTAAGAGTTTTATAGTTTTAGCTGTTACATTTAGGTCTTTGGTCAATTTTGAGTTAGTTTTTGTTTATGGTATGAGATAGGTGTCTAACTTCATTCTTTTGCATGTGGAGATCAGTTGCCAGCGCCGTTTGTTGAGAAGACTATATTTTGCCACTGAATTGTCTTGGCCCCCTTGTCAAAAAATCACCTTAAGGGTAGGGGTGCACAGCCGATCATTGTCGTTGCTATCAATAAGTTGTAAACCTGTAAAAAGTTGAATTGGCAAAAAGTTGTGTGATAGATACATTTACAACAGTGACAAAAAAAAAAGAGAAACTGCTGAGGCTGTTTATATCCAGCCAGACACCTCATGGGATTTGGTTCCTTGATTTGGAGGCTTAGGGTCATGGTTTCATGGGACATCCAGGCTAATTGGTGTAATAATATGTTTAGTGCCTCTGTTCTGCCTCCTAATTATATGCATAGTGCCTGGGGTCTTAAAAGGTTGCAAGTAGCCATCCAAAGCATAACAGTTTGTCTCTGTTCACCTGGAGCAACAGAGGGAGAGGGAGAGTCAGGATGGGGGGGGGGGGATATGGGATGTGTGGCTAATTGCCTCCATGAACAACTGCCCTCCTTTGCCATGAGACCAGAAGAACTGGATGGTGCCTTGCTACCATTTAGTGCTTCTGTTCTACCTCCTGGAGGCCTGGTGACGCAGTGGTTAAGAGATTGGTTGCTAACCAAAAGATCGGCAGTTCAAATCCACTAGCCACTCCTTGGAAACCCTGGGGGGGGGGGCAGTTCTACTCTGTCCTCTAGGATCATTATGAGTCAGAATCAACTCAACGGCAACAGGTTTTTGGTTCTACCTCCTAGTTCCTTGCATAGTGTCGGGATCTTAAAAGCTTGCAAGTGGCCACCCAAGGCACAACAATTGGTCTGTATTCACCTGGAACAACAGAGGAAGAAGAAGAGTCAGGAATTGGAGGAGGTTATGGAATGTGGGGCTAATTGTCACCATGAGACCAGAACTGGATGGTGCCTGGCTACCATTACTGAACATTTTGATCAAAGATTCTGTAGAAGAATCCTGATCAAAAGGGGGAACATGCAGCACAGAATTTCAAATTCTCGTGGACTCTAGACTTTCTGGAGCCATAGAACGTGGATGAACCCCTGAAACTTTGCTCTGAGATAATCTTTGAACCTTGAACCAAAAATATCCGTTGAAGTCTTCTTAAAACGAAACAATAGTTCAGCTTAACTAGTCTGCCTTGAGCATTATGCTCTTTTAAGAACTATCTATAGGGGATCAAATTAACAACAGCAACTGTGAAGTTTGAATGGGAACCTTAGGGGGCAGTGAGTTTCTGTTAATGAGGGAGAACAACTCAGAAAAGGGGGTGAGAATGGTTGCACAACTTGAAGAATGTAATCAGTGTCACTAAATAGTACATGTAGAAGCTGTGGAATCCGTGTATGTTTTGCTGTGTATATTCTCAACAACAAAATAAAAAAAATTTAAAGAAAAAAAAACCAATTGCCCATACATGTGAGAGTTTTTTTCTGGGATCTCAGTTCTATTCCATTGATCTTTATGTCTGTCCTTGTGCCAGTACCACACAGTCTTGATTACTGCTGCTTTGTATTAAGTTTTAAAATTAGAAAGTGTGAGTCCTTCAACTTTGTTCTTTTTCAAGATTGTTTTGGCTATTTGGAGTCCCTTGAATTTCCATATGAATTTTAGGATAAGCTTGTCAATTTCTGTAAAGAAATCTAGCTGGATTTTGCTAGGGATTGTATTGAATCTGTAGGCTAAATTGGGGAGTATTTGTCGTAACAATGTTAAGTCTTCCAACCCATGAACACTGATGTCTGTTTACTGAGGTGTTTCTTTATTCCTTTCAATGCTGTCATGCTATGAGTTTTCAGTGTACAAGTCTTACACTCTCTATGCTCAGTTTATTCCTAAGTGTCTCACTCTTCTGGATGCTCATATAAATGGATTGTTTTCCTGGTTACCTTTGTGGATTGTTCATTGCCAGTGCACCTTACTACAACTGATTTGTTTACATTGGTCTTGTGTCCTGCGACCTTGCTGACCGCACTCATTAGCTCTAACGGGTTTCTGTGTATTCCTTTCCCTTATGTCTTAATGTTTATGTTGAAATTAACTTTCAGGTCAGAAGGCAACACTAAATGCAGAGGAAATGGCTGACTTTTACAAGGGATTTTTAAGTAAGAATTTTCAGAAGCACATGTATTATAACAGGTAAGTGTTTACTTTTTTCCTAAAAATTAAAACATCATTTCCAGACTGGGTAGGATTATTTTCTTAGCTGAATTGAGTGGTGTTCGTGTTTATATCAGAGGTAGAAATTGTATGACTTGGTCAGCTGAGTTCCTTGCTGTTTTAAATATGGTTGATGGTTTAATATTATTTGCATGGTAACCCAGTAGCAGTTAGTACCCCTAGTGCTTGAACAGTGGTCTCTGAACAACACCTTCCACTAAAAAGAACCGAGGCTCCTTGGGGAAATGGCTGATTCCAGGCCTGAGTCTGTGACATCTGATGCCAACAGACAAGGAGGCGTACAAGGATCCCCAAGGTCATGTCAAAACCACATGTGGGCAACTCAGAGGGGCTCACGTAGGCTAGCGATAGAGTAATTGGAGCCTCAAAAAGAAAATGACTGCCGTCGACTTAAATACATCAAGGCTGCAGACGTCCTTGTGGTTGTGACGATGCTGACGAACACAGGCCCCTCTGGAGTTTGCTCGGCTCAACCAGTCGAAACCAGTCAGGATGACTGCAACTCACGGCGGCCCCATGTGTGTCAGAGTAGAGCTGCACTCCGTGGGGTGTTCAATGCCAAGTTTTCAGAAGCAGATCACCAGGACTTTCTTCTAAGGCACTTCCACCCTTTGGTTAGCTGCCGGGTGTTGACCGTTTGCAACACCCAGGGACTCCATTGCTAGGGCTTTCGTTTATTCTGAAAGTTGATAAACCAAAGAAAAGAGTCAAAAGAATCTGCCCCTCTCCTGCCTTTCCTGGGCCAGCTGGTTTTCAAGGTAACAAATGAGGGAGCATTTTTCTTCAGAGAAGAGCGGCAGCTGATGCAGAGTAATACAGTAGGAAAATCACCTTTTTTCTAATGAAACGGTGGATCCAGGCAACAGTCATCCAAACCAAAAAAGAACCCAAACCCGTCGCCATCCAGTCAATTCCAGCTCATAGTCAAGTCCAACTGCCAGCAACCCTACAGGACAGGGTAGAACTGCCCCTAGGGCTTCCAAAGAGTAGCTGGTTGATTTGAACTTCTGACCCTTTGGTTAGCAGCCGAGCTCTTAACCACTGCACCACCAGGGCTCCAGCAGTCATCCTTGGCTGCTAACACCGTTAGGTAGACAAGCCGATAGGGAACTTGGTCATGGGTGGGTCGGCTCATCACGCCTGAGCCCACTGTCATGATGGCCTTGGTGTGATCCAGGAGTGCATGCTGCCACCTAGGGGGAGTTCTTCAAACAAATTGATTGAGTCTGAATCTAGTCGGGCCTCCCATCTAAGTCCCAGTTTATAGGAAACGGGTCGGGGGGGGAGTGGGGGTGTTGCATAGAGAACTATGTTAGAAATGATAAAAAAGATTTTTTTGTCAGTTGGAGAAAATTAAACAATGACTGTATATATTAGGTTATATTAATAAACTATTGTTTTATTGGATATAGTAATGATATTATGGTTATTTCTCTAAATATTTTAACTGGTTACAGATACATACTGATGCATATGTGCTGGTGAGACAATATGACGTGATGTTTGAGACTCGCTTTAAAACCCAACAGCAATTTGGCAATGACTACGGGTGCTGGTTACACAACATGATTAATGTAATTGACATCACTAAATTGTATACCGGAAAAAATGTGGCATTGGCAAAATTGGGTTATATAGTTATTTACAACAACCAAAAACATAATAACAAAGTTGGATGAGGCCGGTGAAACCAGCTTTAGAGAAGAGCAGCGATGCTGAAGCAGGTTAACTCAACATTATGACCCTGTCTTTGTACATATTAGAAATTTCCAGAAAAAAGCTTTAAAAAATAAAGCTATTTGCTTTTTGAATTTCTTAGCTGTCTGGCATAAAGATAAGGCCTGAAACATCTGGATTCTGTTTCCAGTGCTGTCAGTTGTCACTCTGAACTAGTCAGGTTGTTCAGTCACGCAGCTATTGGTTATATTTCTCTGGGCTTTGATTTCAGAAGTGGACGCATAGCATGTTTGCACCAGGCACGATCTTTGATAAGCTTGGTGCTTCCTGAGCCACATTCAGATGAGGAGAACCAACCTTACCCGGGACCAGGAGACAGTGGGGTCCAGAGCTCCCCTCACTGTGCCTTCCTCCCACTCTCTGGTCCCAATCAAAACAGGAAAAGCTGTTTCCCCCACACCACTCACTTCATCATGAGTCCCGCTGTCTGTCCTGGTAACGGGAAGCCTGGCTTTTCTGTTATAACCTAAGGACTTTTATCCTGACGGGAGACCAGTTTTTGTTCCCGGGAACTGTACTTATCTAGGGCACTGCTCATTCATAGCATCGCGGAAGTGGGTGGGAAGGTGGACTAGCCTCATGGAGAGGACTCCCCGCCCCGCATGCCAAGGCTGCAGGAGACAAGCTGCCGTCTCCTTCGACCCCTTGTTTACTCTCCTCCGTCTGCGCTGAGTCCCGTCCGGAGGAGAAGCTCCACACCGGGCTGGGAAGCACGGGTACTTCTTGCCTGTCGGGCTTCCAGGGGCTAAGACCCAGAGTCTGGAATGTGGGCGTTCAGGTTTGAGCATTTCCGGGCTCTGCCTGTTCACTCAGAAAGTGCTGACAGTGGGGCAGATTTGGGAGTTCGGGCATCTTCACGAGCGAGCCCACAAGTGTGTGTGAACACCATCGCGGTGTTCGTGGGAGAAGCTCTGGGATAATACTCAGAAGCCCAGATGAGCTAGAAAAAAGGATACGGAGCTTTATGAGGTTGGCCTCTGTGTGAACTAGCTTCTTATGCAAATAAGGTGCCATGGGTAGGCATTCTGAGGACGGGCCACACCGTGTCCCCTGCGGAGCACCTGGCACTCTCTAATCGGTCACGCCCCCATCGTTCAGCCATTGTGTACCGGAGAATGAATGGGTGCAGCTTGGCTCGGGCCCCAGGCTTCCTGGGGTCCTTTAGAGTCTTTGCGAAAACCTGGGGAGGATTGCAGTGGGGCTCCTGGGAGCGAGGAAAGGCGGGGTGCTCGGGGCTGCTCGTCTGATGACAGGCCCGCGGGGAGAGGAAGGCTTGTCTGGGTAGCGGTCGTCGGTACTGGGTGTCACGCCTGCTTTCCTTTCTCTTCCGCGAACGTAGAGATTGGTACAGGCGCAACTTTGCCATCACCTTCTTCACGGGAAGAGTCGTCCTGGAGAGGGTCTGGAGAAGGCTGCGACCGAAGCAAAAGCTGAGCAGCAGTTAGGAGCCCACCCTTCCCGCCAGCGTCCAGGCTCCCAGGACAGACAGCTGATGGCGGGGGCTCGTCCTGCCAGGGTCCTGAAGAACCGTGAGTGCCCCGGGACCTCCCGAGCGAGGGCCACGTGCCGTTGCCCACCGAGGAGCGGGCAGGCCTGTGGTTCGGTGCAGGCGTGGCCCGGAGAATGCGGGTCCTGGTGCAGCGGCCACGTGATGCCTCCTACTGTGGTTTTCAAGCAGCTCTTTGTCATGACGTGGTGTTAAAACGCGCCCCTTCTGCCCGGCTTCTGTGTCTTTGAATTACGCCAGTGTGAAACTGCGGATGTAAAATACTAATAAAGCTTCACCGGAAGGCACTTGTCTTAGTGAAGGGGGTGATTTCACGGCTTTACAGCTCGGCTGCGAGTGAGCTGTGCAGTGTCCCCAGTGAGGGGCTGTGTGGTGGGTCACTGATACCCACTGCCTTCCCCGGATCAACGGCCTTCAGGGGGACATGGCCCAGTTGAGTGCAGTTGTCCTGGAGCGACAGGCGGTACAGACAGTCGCCGTCCTCTGTCAGGATGAGGTAGGGCACCGTCAGCCTCCTGACAATTCCAGTGAGGTGGCGCCGCAGTTACCCGGGTCCTCCCAGCCAACTCGCAGCTGGATGATGTCGCTTAAAACCAGCATTGTTTGAAGAAGGGCTCTGTGGTTGTGGAATGATGAGGCTGTCTGTAGCTGCGCCGGGAGCCGTGTGGCCAGTTCGCGGGCACGCCGAGCCCTGTACCCAGGGAAACGGCCTTCAGGCCAGGCCCAGTGGCAGGTATTCAGAGTTAGCCAGAGGCTGCGCAGCAGAGTTTATTCTATAATGAGAAGTGACAAAAAGTACTAAGGATTAGACTGGATTTCTTCTGTGGCTCATAAACTGCAAACCCTGAAGAGATTTCCAAAGAGAAATTCCAGAAACCCAGAGAAAGCATATCATCCCCCAGGGCCTTGTAACGCCCCGTTTGGAGGTATGCAGCTGTGCAGCCTGCATGTGTGGGGAGCGAAAGAGCAGAAAAGCAGTAACCAGCAGGCTTAGGGTACCTGGTTAGGGTACTGGGTTAGGGTATAGGGTCAGTGTCCTGGGTTAGGGTACAGGTTAATTACTGGGTTAGGATGTAGGGTTATTGCACTGGGTTAGGGTACAGGTT